AAACTTACTCTTTTTAAAAATTCTCAAAATTCTGTAGAATTCAAATGTATTTCACAATTATTCATTTAACATTAGTGTTTTGGCAATATATGTACTAAAAGAATAGTTTTCAGTGTACCGGATGAATCAATGAAAAAGTTAAACTATTTTTATTAGCATGATTTTCACTGTTGTGGTTCCTGTATAATTTGGTCTTGAGGTCTTAAAGTTGTCAAACCCTAATTAATTACTCATGTAAATGTTTGCCTCTCATCTTTTTTTCTAAATATGAATCTAGGACTTTCTACACTGATGAACCTTTCTAAAAATTTACTTTTACTCTTTCTTCTATATATAGACTGTAATATCTTACAGTGCCAGCTCTTAGTTTTTGGGTTGGTGATAATGGAAACTAATACCAAAAGACAAACACATGGGTCTGTTGTTTGTTTTTTCTCATCTTCAGATTAATCTTCCTTAAGCCTTTTCATATGCAAATGTTTATAATTATTCTGTTACAGAGAAAAAAATGAGATTTTTCTCCAGTTTCCATCCTCAATGCCACTCAAGTATCTCAAGGGATTCTGGAAACCAATTTTCTAGAAATGATTCCCCTTCATTAGTGTGGCAAAAGAGAGTGGCCACCTGTGGAAGAGGTACCATGAGAAGTGACAGTCCAGGTTTCCTGTTTTGTTAATGACCTCTGATATTTAATCAAAGGTTTTAGGTCACAAGCAAAGCATGTTGCTCTTCCATAAAGGGGTAGTTTACACAAACTCCATTGCATAAATATCTTTTCATTTAGGTGTCTCCAAATCCTGGAACAAAATGCATCCTTTTCCTGTAAATAATATCAGGATTAAGCAATAGGGTATTGAAGCACAAGGCCTTACAGAAAGTTGATGCATCGACACAACTATTGCATCTTCAGCTAGTGTTTATTTCAGCCTGTCACCTAGAGATGGCACTGTGGCCTTTGAAGTTTAGAGCCATTGTGCATGGGACACAGCTGGTCTTAGACATTGACATCCATATTGCACCATTGTTGTTTTTGTTTCCCTTAGTGAAACCTAAGCTGTTTATTCCTCTGGATATTATGGGATAATAAATTCCCCTAACTGTTTCTGTGTTTCTTAGTTCTAGTATCATAGCTAGAGCTCCCTTGACCTCTTTCTGATGTTGGTATTTCCTCCAATGCAACTTCCTAACTCATGGGATGTACATCAATGCATTTCACCCCTTTTCTCTATTTTAAAGGTGCACCCTAGAAGAGATTGTCAGAATCCTTTATATCTTTGTGTAGATGGAAGACAACACTTCAATGTATTGATTGCCTTAGACCCTAGTTGGATGTCCTGTTCTCTTTCTTTCTTTTTTCCTATTCTAAGAATATCTAAATAGAGCCAGATGTATATTCCATAGAGCATAAACCCTGACTGTCACTTTCTTGACTTTTGTAATGTTAGAAGCAAACATAAGCAGCTCATTTGTGGTCACCTGACCCTTGCGGCTTGGCTGATTGACCTGTGGGATGTGTCCTAACCACACATGTTTTTGTTTGTTTAAATTAAATCTTCTTGAATTAGCTGCAACCTAGAGCCTTACTGGTTCGCTCCTCTATCTGGAATGCCCCTTGTTGTATCCAGGATCCCTGCACCTTCCTTTTATACACTGACCCTAACTTATGGGACACTCGCTTGACTGTCCACTTCCTTCCAAGTGTGGAAAGCTTCACACCAACAGGATTATTACTGGTTTCTCTGGTATAACCTCCATTTCTTAGCACATGCTTTTTACCTAGTGAGCATTCCATAAACATTTGGTGAAAAAATTAACAAGTAGCTTTTTCAGTAGCAGAGTCAGTTTTTAAAAAGGTGCCAAATGTATCTGATATTAAATATTATTTTACATTAGGTAATTACAACCCATTCTACATGAATAATGTCAATTAACCTTTACCACAAGGCCATGTGATTTGTGTTATGATAACTGTAGATCTGCATAGTTAAGAGTAGTGACTTAGAAAGACAAAGGCTTGGCATTTTTAGTTCATGGCCTCAAATGTCTTGCTAATCAAATTACAAAGTCTGTCATTTACAAAACTTGAGCAAATGAGCCTGTTTTCTAATGAATGTTGCTAAAGATTGTAGATGCTTAACATCTAAAGCCACACATTTTGTTCTCCACATATTTTAAGTCATTTACCTAAGGACAAACTTCTAAATTAATCAGACACATCTGAACACATCAAAAATAAATTTGCTATTAGAGAACAAGCAACTTATTAGTATTTCAGAACATCCTGAGAAGGCAATGGACACTTGTGCACAGTGTGATCCCCACATGGAAATTGTCACAATGCTCCATCAATGGACATTAGTAAGGAGACTGGAACCTTTATGCTTCTATAACTGCTAATATAGTAAGATCTATATCAAGGTGTTTGAATTTGTTACCTGGGTGAAGTCAGACATACTTCAGGAGACCTTGGCAATTACAAAGACAAAACCTTCATGAGGCTTGAGAACAGTAGACAGACTATGAAAGTCAAGATCCTTAGCTGCTGGGTCTGTGGAAAGAGCTCACTGGTTCAGAGAACTCTTTTGCAGAAAACTTGAATTTGATTCCCAGCACCCAAAGGTTGGCTAACAACTGTCTATATGTAACCCTAATTTCATGACATCAAATGCCCTGTACTACACTCCTTGCATGACAGAAATTCATATGTTTCATATACACACATTCAGAATAAACACCCATCCAAAAAAATAATCACGAAATTAGTTTTTACAAGAAAATGCAATAATTTATTAAAAGGGATTTAAAAGCATTTCTAAGTGTAGAAGATAGAATAGAAATTTGAAGCAGAAATTGAAATTTATTCTGGAATAGTTAATAAATTATATCCGGCTTGTCTTGTGAATATATGTATATAATAAATAGATCCACATACACATATAAGCCAATAAAGAAATTACTAGGACAGTCTGAGGTTTGTGGGTGTTTGCTACATTGTGCTTCCTGTGGCTACTTTTTCCTGTCCATGAAACAAACTGTTGGCATCATACCACACCTATAAATTGATAGTTCCTTCTGCCTTAAAACTAGTTACCTCATCAGTCTACATTCTGTGCCCCAATATCAGAGAGGTGAAAGGTTAGTGAAGAAGAGTATGATTTACCCTCAAATGAATACAAAGAAAACTAAAAGGTGTAGTTTGTTTGTCTCATTTCAAATTATAGGAATGAAATTATGACAAGACCTGGGAAAACAGAAGTGTTTTCATGCCATGTGCCATGGGTCACATGTACGTTCAGAGAGGCAATGATGGTGATTTATTTTCATAATAGTTCATCAAACAGCCATTGTGCCTTGAAAAAATAATTCATTTTTGATCTCATAAATGCTTTGGGTGACATTTTTGCATGGATAACTCAAAAGGAAGGAATACACTTGAAGAATAGCAACTTACCCTCTTTTTGTTCTTTGAGTAGAGAGGTAACCTTACATAGAATAAACAGTTTTAATATGTTTGTTATAATGTCATTCTTTAATAGCTCTTTATGTAAGGAACACTCAAACATGGCAACATAATAGCCCTGAGAAATACACAATTCTAACTATCTGGCATATAGAGTTTTATGAGGTGAACCGATAAATACATTAGAGTCAATAGAACATAGATGACAGTTGTTACATCATGAAGCTTGCTCTTCTGTCTCCTGATGCCTATATGCTGAAGATAGTATCATTGTAGAACCATGAAAATAGGAATGTAAATCAAAGCACCTACACGAACAAGTTATTGGTGGTGAAATACACCAGTTGGCATGAACTTGTAATTTGTTTTGTTTTTGCAGAGGAGTTTAGATTCTTGGTCAGAAATTTATCAGTTGAAAGAATGGTGGACAAACTCTTAAAAAAAAAACATTTTCCAAAGCGATCTTCTACTACTTTATTGTCATGAATAGAATTCACTGAAACTCTGAATATCCAGTTAAATGAACACTGTGGTTATGTCTTCATCTAAACTTCAGCTTTTTAACAGCCTTATAATGTATTGTAAAGCCTCTCCTGACTTTAGTTATCTGATTACATATTGAAAGCTGTTACCTTGATTTTCTTTTTCAAATAGATAAGAAGCATTAAATGTCAGAAGTATATTAAAGTTTTCTAAAAGCACATTAGATTATTTTTAAAACATAACTTATAATTCAGTTGTGAGGAAGATCCTGAAAAGCAATGGGGCCGCTGAGCTAAAGCAGGGTTATCTTGTTGGATGAGCTGTTGCAGCTCTATTTCTTAGCCCTCATGCTGAAGCAGATAGATTCCCTAGAGCCGGAAGAAGAAACTTGCAGTCGCCCTATAAGCCAAATGTGATTTCCTATTCTCATGTTTATAAAAGCCTCTCCACTTGATTATGTACCAGCCAATCCATTGACCATGGGCTTTCACTCTGGATGACTGACACTGAGACAGACGTAGAATACAAATGAAGGACTCCTTCATATTCTAACAAAACTGGGCAATGTTGTAACAATTTTGACCATGTGTATATGTGATGTGTTCTGTCCTGTGCAGAATATTTAGGGGCCTTATGGAAAATATTAAGGTAGAGATAATATAAAATATTTCCCAAAGTAAAATCATGAGCCGGAACTTAAATGTAGGTGGAGTGAATGTAATCATTTATATTTCCAAACTATAGCTGTTTAAAAATATAGAGATGATATGTTATGAAAACTTTAATAGGCATGGGTAAAGTAAAATACTGAGGTTAAAATGGATTGATTTGATATGTTAATATGTAAGTACACAAAGAAGTTGGATGTAAGTGAATATATTCAAGTATGTACTTGAATGAAGGCCACTAGTAAAAGATATGTGTGCTAGAATTCTTAAATGCTGAAGTATTTAATGGTTTGCTTTAAAAAACCAGATTACTTTAAATGATAATAATAATTCAGTAGTTACTAGCACATTAACACATACTATGCTAAAAAGAAAAGTGAAAGGCATCCTCTAGGGAATTCAATGTTTTATTTTATCAGACAAATGAGTTCTTCAACATCTAATTAAATTTTCATGTGGGAACTACATCTCATTTGCTTTCTATACACAGGGTGAACATTCACTGTAATGACAGCTTCATCATGCTATGTCTATTCACAAACCTACACTTTGGGGGAAAAGTGCATTTCTAGGTAATTTTATATACAATGATATGAAAAACATCTTAAATCATCAAATTGCCCAAGAACACAAAATAAAACCAACTAGTCACCCATATTCAATAAGTATTAATTATGTTTTTGAGAAATACATATATTTTACATTTGGCAGGGTTGTGTTGAATAGTAATTTTTATATTCTTTTTTTTAAAGAAATGAGTATTTAAAATGTAGTTATATAAAAAAAAAGGAGGTATTAAATAGGACAAACAATAGCATAGAATTAAATATCACCATCTAGCAGTTTGAAGCTATGTGGGATGAGGGCACTGTGCTTTGGACGTCATTTTATTCTGTTCATACAATAGATTAATCAAAAACAAAGAGGATCATGTTAGCATTGCATCTAAACATGCTGCTATTTTTTTTGCATATATAAGAAAAATAAAATGTGAATATTTAAGCCTGCAAACCACTTGCATATGGGATCACTGCAGATTGTTGTAGTACTGTACAAATTTGAAAAATAGTTTAAAAACAAAATCGGGTGACATGTCTGCTCTTTCTGTTTTGTCCTACAATGCCAAGGTTCCCTTTTAGAACATTAAAATTTACGACCTCTCAGCTAAACACATTTTTATCTTCTGTTAAAGATGTAAACCCTCCAACTTTCCCTTCCTTCTTTTCCTCCTTCCTGCCTTCTTCCCTTCTTCCCTATTCCTCTTCCTTTTTTTCTGTTTGAGCCCAGGTTCTGTGTATGCTAAACATATAACCTACCACCAACTCATAGCCCTACACATGATTTTCCTTTCTGGAGTTTGTTTACAATACTCAAAAAAAAGAGGCAGATCCTCTTTCATTACTTTCTTTATGAACTGTTAATACGAACTGTGTTTCAACAGTGTTTAGTACAATTTCTCTTTTTTTCTGAAAATATAAACAAGTATTAAAATAAATTTAAATTTAAAATTGGAAGCTCTGTCATTAAGATAAGTATAAGAAAAATCCCCATATTTATCCATCAGTTTTTGAATTGGAGAAAATAAGTTTAATTACAAAACAATCCAAACATTTTGATAGCTTCACTCTGTATGGGAAAGTTGGATGTTTTAACAGTATTTCCTCCTTGTTTTTTTTAATTTGCCAAGTAGACTAGAAAACTGAAATCAAACAGTAAATCAATTAAATAATGTAAGAGTATATGTAAGTCTATAATAACTTAAATAACTTCCAAAAAACAAAGTGTTTTTGTTTGGAAGATGATAACAAAACAGTAGAAATGTCAATGCCTCACTGATACATCTCCCATCAAAGATTTGGATGTCACACGTGATTCATTTTGTCTTTCTGAAGCAAAAGAGCAAAGATTTATGGCAGATCTCAGTAAATGACACACATTAAAATCTTAAACAAAGAACAAGCAAGAATATGATTCACTGGAAGCATATGAACTCATCACATTCTCTTTATGAGTCACTCTTGCTTTTAAATAACATCTGGATGCTCTCTTCCCTGCCATTTTTCTAACCTACATGACTTTGGATGGCTTTTCTGTCACATGCACTTATATGACATTTACTATGTGAAAATTGTGAATTCAAATTTGTTCTCACGTATAAAAACCACTGACAATTAAAAAGCTAAACTCCTAAAGCAGAGGACCAGCACAGAGTAATTTATGTCCCTCGCTCAACCGAGGGTATAACAGTTCTGCTTCTGTTGCTGCATTTAAGTCAAAGAAAAGACACATTATGATATAAATAAAATCTGGGACAAGTTAAATATTTCTGTGCACCATGAGGACCATGACATGTCTAGTGCTAGTAGGTATCATACAAGAAGATGCATGCTCATTTAAGTTCACAGAGAACACACTTGAGAGCGAGTCTCCAGCTTTTGTGAGGAATTTCTCATGGGTAAAGCACAAGACTTTGCTCAGTAGTTAACCAGTGAGGACAGAGCATTTGTTACTGGAAGCAAAGCCCCACAGATGAACATTTATGACTCTGGAAGATGATTCCTCCTGTTCCTGCTTTTTCTGCTATTGATGAGAGCCTTTAGCTTGCCATAGTCCCCCCTCATCTTCTGTGGTTCTTCTCCCAGCTGATGCTGCTGCCGGGTGTCTTTACAGTACTGGTTGATGAGCTGCATTTCAGAGTGGCTGAATGCTCCCAGTATGTCCTTTGGATGGAAGGGTAGAGCCCTCACAGAGCCAGCCCATGTCCATGGGGACCACTTGTCTGTCACTACAGCCACCATTTCTGAATCTAAAACTTTGAAGTTAATCTTGGCTATGGTCTGCTTGAAGCTGTTCTCCGTGGCGATGCAGTGGTATAGCCCTTGGTCTGAGTCCTGAACTGATCGAATCAGCAGTCCTTGGGAAGTGGCTATGATGCGCTCATTGAGCTTAACCTAAAAGACAAACACCATGAATGTCCAAATCGAAGAGTACAATTTCTAAGATAATACTCTCAATGCATACAAAACTAGTTGACTTTCACAACTAGCATTGAGTATTTTCCATCACAGACTACACAAGATTATGGTTAGTTCCACTGAACAATACACTCTTTTGTTTACAGTGGGCAATCTTGTCTCCTGAACTACTCAAAATGATAGTGAAGGTACCATCCACACAGGGAAATCTGAAGTGGGCTCCTGTTCTGGCTAGTTGTATATCAGCTTGACACAAGCTAGCGTTATCTGAAAAGAGTATTTGTGAAGATGCCTGCAGAAGATGATGCCTCCATAAGATCCTGCTGTGGGTCATTTTCATATTACTGATTGGCACGGGTGAGCCCTGCCCATTGTGGGTGGCATGATCTTTGGGTCAGTGGTCCAGAGTTCTATGAGAAAGTAGGCAGAGGCAATCATGGAGCCCACGTTGGTCTGTGCTAGGTCCTCTGCATATATGTTGTGATTGCTTTGCTTGTGGTTTCTATGGGACTCCTAACAGTGTGAATGGGGTATTTCTGACTCTTTTGCCTGCTCTTGTGACCCTTTTTCTCCTATTGGATTGCCTCCTCCAGCCTTGATATAAGGATTTGTGCCTATTCTAATTGCATCTTGATATGATACGTCCAGTTAATATCATTGGGAAGTCTGGTCTTTTCTGAAGGGAAATGCAGAAGCAGTGGATCTGGGAAAGACAATGGGGGGTTAGTAGAAGGAGTGGAGGGTCTAGAAACTGCAGTCAAACTGAATTGTAGGGGGGAAGATTAAATAAACAGGAAAATGCTTCAAACATATATGTTCCCTTTGGATTATATCCTTTTTATGAGATTTAAAAGTAAAATAATACACAATCCATGGTTAGAAAGAAAGCATGTTGAAGAAGCCAAGGGAAGCAAGTCCCATGGCAACCATCCATGGACTCTGTATCAGTTTCTGCCTTGAGGCTTCTGCCCTCATTGAGTTCCTATCCTAACTTCCTTAAAGGATGAACAGCAATATGAGAGTGAAAGCCAAATAAACACTTTCCTCCCCAAGTTGCTTTGGTCATGGTGTTTTATCATAGCAACAGTGACCCTAACTATACAGTTCCCTTCACAGGAATGTACTTTCATCTTACACAAGCACAAGATTGATAGTCTTTTGGCATCTAATTAATAGGAATTAGTGAAATTCTTACATTACATCTATTTAGCCCTGGAATTATTTTATTTTTATGAAACTACTCACTTGTAAAAGCAGTAAACAACTATTATTGGGTTCATTCCATTTTTATTTCAATAAGTATTGTCAACACATAGAGAATTGTGAATGCTTTCAAGGATCTTGTCCAATTATCACACTATAGCATCTCTAACACTAAAGTTGCAGGGACATTACTATATAAGACTTTCAAGAAAATTTATTTCCATGAGGTAATAAAAAACATGTGGTAATTTTTAGTCAATGTAAAGCTTATAATAGAAAATAACCAATCGCTGGGTATTGACTACACACATTAGATCCATTTGCTTTACAATTAATTGCCTTACAGTTGTAGCTATTGTGTTATAAATGAAGAGGTTGAGAATTCATGTGGTGAAAAGCTTTCAGACATTTATAATCTGAATTATCTCTCTTTGAATAAAAACAGAAAAAGGACCAAAATCATGATAAGTAGTAATACATGTAAATATTTTTATATTACCAAAGTTCTGTACACAAGTACATTTCATTGTTAATAATATCCAAATCCAATACTATTTCAATTTAAAATATGTAATCTTGAGTTAATAAGCATCATGTTCCTATAGATGCCAGGCAGCAGAGGTCAGAGAAACAGGAGGAACAGTGTTTTGCTAGCTTCCTGGGGTGTGAATACAGGGAACCAAAGTGAAACTGGGTCCTTTGCAAGATCCCCAACTAAAGCCCATTTGCCCTGTTCTTTCTTCCACACAATTTAATCCCTGCTGCTGCAAATGTTCATTATCCTATGATTTAATGTTTCAGCCTCATGGAACTCACAGTTAGGAAACACGAAATAACACATTCGAATAGGCAAGTGTGAGAGGTGGATGTGTTTTGTCCTATGGAGCCAAGGTCCTAGTTACTTTGACACCATGTCTGTTTTCTATAGCTTTCAGACATGTGCACTTGCATTTCCTTGATTAACATCACACAGAAAGAAAATCACCTGCAATAGAACCCACACAGATGCATGCAGGGGGTGCATCCGATTTCTGCTTACATCCATTAAAATTGATGGTATAGTAGGAACATGCCATTTTAGAAGTAGAGGCTGCATGTATGTGCATGTAATTTTACGTCTCATTTGTCAGTATAGTGTGACATCAACATTAGGGAATTTGGTATTTACAATATGTTACTGTATGCCAATTTGCATTGCCATTCTTTTCAAATGGTTCTTTATAACTAATAAAAATTTGGAGTAAGAATGTATTTATTCACAAGTCTAGGGGTCTTTTCATTTAATAATGAATAAATCCAGTGGTTTCATAAACAATGAAGGCACACATTACCTGAATGATATATAAGGGTCATGAATGCTAATGCAATGGAAACATGACCACACAGCAGAAAAATGTTCCTTGCAACAAAGGGTTATAGTTCAACATAATTTTGTGCTGAGGAAAACAGAACATTTTTAAAGCTGCTTTTATCTTGTGAGTCACACAAAGGTGCTGTTGTATGTAGGGTTAGCTTCTGGGTTTGCACGCATCTTGTTTCTTTTCTAAGTGCTTCCTTAAGTCACTACACCATCCTAGCACTTGAGATTGTGTTATAAACACTGAGGCCACAGAAGGGATTTTTAATCAATCCTTCAAGTCTAAGGACAAAGGATTTTAAAGAAAATGGTAATGACATGCTATTGATGTGTCTTTACTTCCAGTTTCATCTTTGCCTCCCTGAGAAATGGTGATTTAGTGCTCCTCCCAGAGTCCTGATGGATGGCTGGGGAGGTGGGGGCAGACCACTCACCTCTTTCCTCCTGTCTTTATCTTTCTGCAGCAGCCACTTGATAGATGCCTGTGGAGACTTTGGGGCACACTCCAGGAAAGTGCTGTTATTTCTTACTCCATACTGAACAATTTCAGCTGCATTTCTGTAGGCTGAAAAGCAGAAATCAGAGGAATGAGAAAGAACAGATTTTAGAGATTACTCTTCCGTGTGAACATTTCTTTCCCTAGAATTGTGCTCAGGGTGGTACAATTTATGAGTCTAGCCATTTTCTTTAAATTTAAAGTAAAATGGGCACTGAAAGTTATCTAAGGTTGTGTTTGTACACATTTATCACTCTGCACTGAAGATTGTAACAGCTTTGATTATCTAATTATTATAACAGCTTTTAAGTTAGATTTTTTCCAATTGCACAAATAAGGCCACGAGTCATGAAGATATATATATATATATGTATATATATATACATATATATATATATATGTATGTATGTATGTATGTGTATATACATATATATTATACATACACACATATATAATATCTGTACATGTATAATATGTGTTAATATATGAAGGAAGATAAAATGGGAGTTCAGAAAGCACAGAATATCCACAATATGATACAGTGATTGAAAAGACAGGCTTTGAGGTCAAAGAAACATGGGATAAATTAAGGTACATCCACACTACTGGCTGTGTAATGCAAGACAAGTTACTTGAACCATCTCTGTCTTTCTTTATTCATTTCTAATAATATTTTTAAACTTTTAAGTAAATTTTTATGGCAAATAAAGCACTTAGCAAAATCAGGCATATTTAAAACACAAACAGAAAGCTTTATTCATAAATTAGGGATAGAAATAGATGTTAATGCAGATTTTAAACAATGAATGAGGTCATCACAAGAAAGCACTTGAACCAAAGCTCAGACCTAAAGTCGGCACAGATACTTGACATTATTTCAAGTGTCACTTCTCTCACCACTGTAACCAAGGGCATTATAAACAGCATTGACTTAATATTTTATAAAAATGCTCCATGAATAGCAGCAAATGACAAAGTGGATAAATTCCCAAAATTAGATGTATGAAACAACCAAATAAAAGTCTACCTCAGAGTTGTATCGTGGAGTTACCATAGTGATGGAGGATGTACTTCTGTATATATGTTTCTCTTATCAGAAAAATTTGCACAGTTTCATCATTAAAATCATATGCCTGCAGCACTAGGTATGTTAACAGAAAGAACTGTTTGAGGTGGAGAAAGTGACCCATGAATATGTGAATAGATTAAGAACACAGCATTTCTTTGTCAGGACAAAGAGAAAGGGACTGTTGACTGTAAAATAGGGCAGGCCTGAAGCTGGGTCTCTTGATCGCATCTTTGAAGGATTATTCTCTGCATCTGTAGTATTGGGAGCAGTACATATCTTTACAAAGGGATGAGTAAATAAAGAAAATGTGATCAAACACATAATGAATTTTATAAGTATGAAAAATCCTGTCTATGTTAAAGAGTAAAGGGACTCTGAAATCACACAGATCCTGTGTGATTCCACCATACAAAGTGTCTAGAATGCTCAAACTCTGAAGAGAGTAGATTGGTTACTGGCAGGCACTATGGAAAAAGGGATGCTTAGTAAATATTGAATAGATGCCATGGTTATAATTAGGAAGACAATAAGGATCCAATATACCTTGCAGATGGTCACACATCTAAACAGTACAGAGGTCTATGGTCCAAAATAATTAAAATTGTAAACATTTTCTTTGTATATTTTCTTTAGTAAGATAGTATTAATTTTAAAAACAAAACTTTTGCTTCAGAAAGAAATAAGTAGCTAAGAGAATCTGTGTAAGAGGTCTGTCCACTCACACACTGGCAGCCACATACTTCAGAACACTTTTTTTTTTTTCTGGTTCTCCATAATAATACAAATAGCACTTCAGTTTCAGTAGCACTAATAAATATGTTATAAACTCACAATGACACATTATCAAGTGAATGACTTGAGTGAAGATCCCCTATTAAATGAGACACAGAATGTTGCTACTGTTTACCATGCCTAAGACCTATTTATTTCTCTTACCTTTTAGATTGAACCCTCGACATTGTGTCAGTGGATTCCCATGCCTCACATCTTGTCTTCGGCTCCTCCTGTATGTGAAGGAAAATATCAAAGAGGTTTGGTTTTACTGACAATTATGCTACATTAGAAGCACCCTATTTTAAACTTTGTAGTCTTTTGATTGCCTAAGATTTGTTTTAGAAATCAAATAGAGGAAGTCTTATTATCTCTCACAGCTCCTTGACCATTCATGGTGGATGAGTGACAGGTGGGTACCCATCCTCCCTGTAGATCAAGTCAGTCCCTCTCTATCTGTCTTCTCTGATGGGACAGCCACAAAATTACTAGTATACATCACTTCCAAGGAGTTGCTGGATTGTCTAAATAAATATATCACATTTTATTTTACAGATACTAATCCAAAAATGCACTCAAATGAAAACTGGTAAATGGTAAGTAAACTCAACAGCATTTACTTTTCTTTTAAAAGTTTTGCTATAATATACACACTTTTGTTTAAAAGTCAGTGCTCTGTAAATATTCTAAACCATTTTGGAACATAAATGGGATTCCTGAAACAAAGAAAAATAACCTTTATTTAAAAGGTACTCAGGTTTTCAAAAATGGGCATATGTTTACAGTGAATTCTAGAATGTTCATATGCACAAGTTTTTTCTTTATTTGCTATAATTTTCTATCATGCAAGTACATACACATAATATAGCATAATATATTTACTGTTATATAGATATATTAAAAACTTTTAGAAATAAAACCTTGCCCTATGGATAACAATATTAATATTTTAAAGATATTAGTATTTATTTAATAACACCAATGGGTATATGGGATAAAACAGTTTCTTCACACCCCAAGACACTTATAAGGAGATTCTTTAAGGTTTAGTCATACTCAAGTCAAATAGATTCTTTGCTTGGAACATACTAATGGAAAAAGCTTTTCAAAAAATGACTTCCAGTCTTTATAAATTGAAAATTATGCACATAAAACTTTATGGTATTTGTTCATTAATGATTTCATTTCTTGACTTACAGGTTCATGAGAACACTTAATTTTAACTTCATAATGGATAGGAGTGAACCAAAAGACAGCACTTGGATACATACAGCCATCCCTAAAAGCCATGTGGACACTGACTTTAAATACTGGGAACACACATCTAAATGATTTATGAATAAGAATACCATTTAATTGGATTAACTATTAATATTTTATCATAATATAAAATATTGAGCAAAATGAGCAGAAATAAAAACACACAGTGATTATTAAACATAAAAAATATCAATCTCAAAGACACTCATGATTTAAAAACTATCAGAAGTGGTTAATACTTTATGTTAACAAATATATTTATATATATACTGGTGTGTGTGTGTGTGTGTGTGTGTGTGTGTACACATAGTAGAGGAACTACCAGTCACTCTCATGTAAGGAAATATGATCAGTTTCCTATTGTATACCAGCTCCATGTCCACTTTTACTGCCAAGAATTTGCAATTTTTACTACTATTGTTTCTGGGAATGTATACTAAAACAACCTTTGTGAGTGTTCTTAGGGCTGAGCTGGTCATTTTCAGCCTTCTAGGCACTCATTGTCATTCACAGCACCTAAATGTATTGCCCCATAGTCAGCACTATAGGGTGTTACTCGTGCACAATATATGTACCACAAATTTGTCATGAAATTTGTCATGGCTCTTTACAGACAAAGTACTGATAGTATCTTGCATTTGTTCTCCCTCCCAATACCATGCCTAATATTAAAACTTGTATTTTGAGCTGAAATATATATATATATATATATATATATATATATATATATATATATATATCCTCTCAAGCTAGGCAAAGTGAACTTGCCACATCAGCTTCCAGACATCCAAATAGAAAACCTTGTTATAGCTCCTTTTAAATGATGAGATCAGCGAGAGCCTTTGGTATGTGTCAGTTTTCTTGAATGCATTCCTAGAGCATAACAGAACCATGCTGGTAGGCACCATAATATTACATTACACATAGGATTAGGCTTTGGCTGACTTTGCTGATGTTTCATCATTATTCTCAATTTCTTTGGATAAACAATGAAATCATTTTCTAGTTTCACAGAAAAGATATTTGTAAAGACTGAACTGATTATGCCATCGTTTCCCAGCTATCTGCCTGAATTCAGGATAAATAACATTAGTATTGATACACACAAATAGGTAAGGCACTTCAAAGCAATGAGAAAAATGCATAGTGCTTTCAATATACACATTATTAAAAATTAAACATTGAGTTAATACTTAGTGGGTGAATGTATGGATTTTACTGTTTTCTGGTTGTGACTCTGTCTCTGTGTCCATAAAATGGTATAGTTTTGCTTTAATTACAATTAATTCATCCACATATTATTTGCTATAGATAGAAAATCTAAGGATAAGATAATAAAGGCAGATAATACTAGTAAAAGAGTGATGATTGAAAATATTGCAAAAAGTCTTTTCCACCACTCTCTTTTAATTACATAGAAAATAAGAAAAGCTGTGTTGATTCATTCTGCAAAAGGACATTACATTCTCCACAACACATCTGAGGTGGAAACAATTTGGAATATTTTGTAGATATTTTTAATGAAACTTCTACTCACTAACCAATAAAGAATATGGGGTAAGCTCATGCACTCTGTCTGTGTGTGTGTGTGTGTGTGTGTGTGTGTGTGTGTGTAGTGTGATGTTTGTGTGTGTGTGTTTGTTTTGTGTTGCATTTTGAAAGTCTTGTGGTAGAATTAAGTCACTGGTAAAGATATTCAAACAGTTACTCAAATAATTGGTACTTTGTATTTCAGCTCAAAATACAAGTTTTAATATTAGGCATGGTATTGGGAGGGAGAACAAATGCAAGATACTATCAGTACTTTGTCTGTAAAGAGCCATGACAAATTTCATGACAAATTTGTGGTACATAATAGTAATGTGTAACCCATGTTTCAGTATGAATATTAAAAATATAACTGGATTTATAATAGGTGAGACAATGTATGGACACATTTTAAGACATCTAAAATATGAAATGAATCTTAAATATGCAATTATTCTCCACACATGGAATGAAATTTTACTTGGGAAATATTGCTTGTGTGGAAATTAAAAATTCCTATCAGCCTAAGACAAGTCTTTGTAAAGAAGGGGTTCTGCCCTTCCATCATTTCACATTACAAACAAGCACTAATTTATCTATAGGATATGGCAGTGTTCAATTCATGCTCACTTTGCTGTTTAGAGAGTACCATGTACCAACTTCATTCATCAAAAAAATCTGGTTAAAAGACCAAGGACTCTAACCTTGGTACTGGAGATGCATGGCATTCTTAGCTGTAGAACTTTTATCAGTTAAAAAAAAATTGTATTGTCAGGCAAATATTTAGACGAGGAACACTTTTAAACACTACTTTAATTACACTTAGAGGTACATGACAAATACTTTTGAAAATTCTAGTAGTAGCTGCAAAAATAAAATTCATTTAAGATCATGTTTGAAATTTGCATCCCTCGCATTCTGTATCCATGTTCTGTTCTTCTCAGCCAGTGCAAATACAATTGCAAGGGAATGAACATTTGAAAGGGAAGGGAAGTTCATATGAGTGAAGAAGATCCTGCTTAACTCCTACGACAAACTTGGGAGGACACTGAGTCTCTGACACAGACGCAAGACTCCTGGTTCAAAGACTTGTGAAGAAGGGGGACACAGCCCAGGCTACTCCTCTCTACTCCAGATTCACATTTCTTTCTCTCCTCAGCAACCTGGCTGGAGTGCCCCATAGACATGCTTGGTTTAATCTTCTTTCTACATCACAAGTGTTCATTCCATAGGGTTCACTCTGAGGCAATGACATCTGTGGGTTTTCTAGTGCTCTGGTTTTTAAGAACTTGGAATTTTTTTACTGCTCTGGTTCTCTAAGCTCTTGTACCAAGTACTTTAACAGAGTATTCAACTACTCCTCTATATGACCTAGATTACAACCCCATTCTGCATCTTTTGTCCTCCTACTTCCAATGCCAATGCTCCAATGAAAGCAACCCCAGCTCGTGAACTTTTAGGACCAAGAATCGGGTGATTTCCTTTCTAAACAAAAGAACTAAGTGCTGACAAGTTACTGATAAAATCCTACATCACCTGACATTGGAAATGTATTTCTTTCTGGCCTTCCTTCTCTTGTCATAAGGTAGTAAGTGCCAGCATGAGTTTAGGTGTTGTCCCTTGGCTGTTCCATGGCATACTTCTAGAGTGTTATTCCCCAGAGGATGCCTTGGTGCTACTCTTTTCATATTTTTTTGCTTGGTTCACTCTTCTGTCACCACTAGGGCCCTCTCTGACCATTGTTCAACTTTTCAAAAACTGCTTCCCGTATGTCATAACCCTCTTTCTCTTTCACACCCAGAAACCTCGTGATTGTTTGACATGCCTTTTCTTCTCTCATCAGACCATTTTATACCCAAGCACAAATTTTTGTCTTTTGTTGTTGTCTTCCCTATTTTATACCTGTTTTTTTTTTTTTTTTTACAACAATGCCTAACTATGTTTTGTTTCAAGATAAATATTTGTTGAGATAACAGACAAAAGGTTTAAGGTTGACATATGAAAATGCAGTGGTGTGGCTCTAGTAAAGCTTATGACACATCTACAGTGGGATCCAAAGGTTTTTGTGTGTGCTTTGATTTTGTTATAATTGCTTATTTGCTTGCTTGTTTGTTTGTTTTCTTTTTGGGTGTGGTTTTATTTTGTTTTCTTGATTTGGGAGGTTTTGTTGTTGTATTGAGGTTTTGGTTTTTTTGAGGTAGAATCTAAATTTGGGTGGATGGGGAGAGGGAGAAGATCTGGAAGTACTTGGAAGAGGAGAAGAATATGATCAAAATATTTTAAATTTTCAAATATGACATGATAAAAATTAATATATTATACAAATATAATGTAATAAAAATATAATTTAAAAAAAATCACCCAATGGTTGCCTGGACAGTGCAGAGGTTCTTAAGACTGGAGTCATTTGCTCCCACTGACCCTAATTTTTAAGAGGTTTTGGTGCTCTCATTCTTCACAGCCTATATCTCAAATGTTATTGCAAATATCTAGGAGCTCAACCAACTCTGATGTCTGCATATTCTTTACTGTCTCAACAGTTTTTCCACTACAAATGCCTTTCAATTTGCTTTGAACATTTCTGGGAACTATTTAAATTCATCTCCTTTTATTAATTATATTAACGCAAAAACTCTTTGTTATAATTAAGCAATGTAGCCACACCTAGCAGTGTGGAGTTTAAGGCTACAGTGACTCACATGGACACAACAGAGACACATATTAGCTTGAAAACAGTTAAATGCTGCCTAGGTTACTGATGAGTCTGAAAGCACACAATTGCCATTGAGAAGAAAAGAAACCATCATATCGTGCAGTGCGACATCTTGCTCACTCAAAGGATGTATGTAGTGCTAAACACAGTATTGCCTTTTTAGATGAAAGCAGCCATACAGCTGATCCACATCTGCATTGCCCTATGAAGCCCATTGAATTTTCACATGAATGCTTAGTACTCACCGCTTCCCAGTGGGGTAGAACCTGGAGCAAGAGTGGCCATCCCAGGCACAGTATGGGTCCCTCGCCAAGCAGCAGTCTGCACAAGCTGTGCCATAGATGTGGCAGCGATGCAGAGACACTTGGGAAACCCCTTCATTGGAGCTCACATACAACTGTTGCTATGAGAGTAATCATGGCAATTTATGTCAGAGGTGGAATTTACAAGACGTTTAGCAGGAACACATAACATATGACCACAAACTGGTGGATTCATTTAGAAACAGACAGACTCAAAACAAGATGCATAGAGGGTATAATGCCAAAATAAATAGAATTTTCCTACTGTTAATATGTCTATAACATTAGCACTTTCTACTAAAAATAACACCTCTCAGTGTACCATATAGAATGGTAATCTGTTTTAAACACTGGGATCCATTGTCCTCTCAGACTTGAACTAATATATTGCATATTTAAATTATGATGTTTTCTTTTCCTTTGACATCTGTCTCTCAGCAAATCACAAGTAAGCTTTCATATATTTCAAGTCCAACAGCCGAAGTCAATTTTGAAACAGAAGACATTTTGTTTAGAAGACAAAGTAATTAGATAATCAGTCATTGTCAAAGTGGAAACAGTTGAAAACATGTCTTTGAAAGTAATATACACTTATTAAAGCTATTTTTAAGATTATTTAAAAATTTCCAATGCTTATTTTTATATGTAAGTGTATACTTGGACTTGTATGTGTATGTATGTGACACATGCGTGTGTGTGTGTGTGTGTGTGTGTGTGTGTGTGTGTTTGTGTTTGTGCCTGTGTACTTATACAGTGGCCAGAGGAGGACACTGGGTATTATTTTTTATATATGTGACTAGGTTTTTGGGCTTCGTATGTGTGTGTATGTTGACATAGGCACATGCATGTGTGTGTGTGTGTGTGTGTGTGTGTGTGTGTACTCATTCAGAGGCCAGAGGAGGACACTGGGAATTTGGCTCTGTCCCACTCTGTCATATTCCTTTGAGTAAGTTACTGAACCTGGAGATATGCTGGCCCCAAGCAAGCCATAGCCATCTCCGTCTTCCCTCTGTGGTACAATAATGCTCATGCCTACATCTTGCTGTAATGTGGACGCTGTGATTGAAACACAGGTGCACATGTTTTAACAGCAAGTATTCTTATATTCTGGCTGGAGAGATGGCCTAGTGAGGGGAGGAATGTAGCTCAAGAGGTCTCTAGGTTCAGTTCCCAGTAAGCATTTATTGAATAATAAGTATATCTAAAAGAGACAGGCAAATTAAAGTGTCCATTAATTGAAAATATTTTTTTAAGAATACTGGTTTATTTGAGAAAAAGGCAAAAGGTAGCTGTATATTTTAATTTTTAGTAATATCAATATTTTTGCAATTGGGTATAAGGTAAGAAATATGATTAATTAATTTGAGTACTAGGAAAGATATCAAATTCATGACATTTAAACACCTTCACAAAACTGCTTCAGAAAGTAGTACAGTGTTTAGTGAACCCAGGGATTCAGAAAATCAAATCACTACACTAACTGTGGAGCTCACTGCTTCCCTGAAACATATTAAATATCTGCAGTGTAAGATGTTGAAAACCAACATAACATATGACCTATAAATATGTTAGGCATACATTTTATATATGACCACCATGACACAAAAATGACTGTGAAGGTTTTGAATCTTGCTGCTATATTGTCTCTTTCCATTAAGCCATCATAAACAAAAAGGCTTCCCTGCTGGCTTCAAAGACAATTCTGACTTAAGATCAGCTCTGTTGGACATTTGCAAAATGACAAATGACTTCTTGTTAGTTGGGAAAATGTTTGCTATGCTTCATGCAAACATTTTTACAGATGAGATCTTTAACTCCATTTTGTCGTATTTATTTTTTCTCATAAAATTTGGTCAAGTGCAAAGAGCACAAGACTAACTATGGAACCACATCATGTCTATCCAGTACATTGGATATGGCAAAGAGCACTGCAATTATAAAATCAGTTGTACAAGCATCAAAAGTCTTTGGTCTCCATTCCAAGAAAAACAGAATCTAAGATTCTTACAGACAGCACTAGCTAGTGCCATTTTGTCCTAGGCAATTTATATACATCATTTGTGAGAAAGGCGATGCTTTTGAGACTAGAAACTTAGGTCAAGGAAGTTAAAAAATTTGCTTGTAATTTATAGTCAAGTTGGGATTCAAATACATATAAAGCTGACTCAATCTGACTCCAAAGAGGCAGCTCTTAGTGAATTTGTTTAAGATAATGCCTTTGATAATGGGAGCAGGGTGTATAATAGACAGGAAAAAAAAAAAAAAAAAAAAAAAAAAGGATTGCCATCTCTTGCTCATGTTCTTGTTCCGGGAAACTTAGATTAGCTAGTTCTCGATAATCACCATCACTCACTCCTTCAAATCCAAAACCGTGGATAGGGCACACTAAAGGTTTTGTTGACAAATAAATGCTGAAAACTTTGATCTTACTGTAGCCCAAACATGATACTAAATTCTATTTTTAGAATGTTGAGTTTTATTGTGCCATAACAGTTGAGGATATGACAAACACAAAACACTGCAATGCCTATCCACATATATGGTCTGCTCTCATTAGCTTTTATGCAAAAGAAAACTATTCCATTTTCACTAACAGATACTGAGGCCTATAGCAAAGTAAAGATGATTCTATATGATTATCAATAGTAAAACTAGTTTTTCAGAAGTTAAAAAAAAAACATATTTTCCTGGTTGTGAGACATTGTATCATGCCCAAAATAGAAAAGTCTCAGTTCTTACCTTCTTGGATGAGATTTTCATTGTTGTTATGGGAACATGATTCTAAAAGATTAGAAAATGTACATTAGTTGCTTATATGATCTTAAGAGCAGTTTTGCATGTAAAAATTGAAGTTTTGTATAAAAGTTCAAAACATCATGGTTTTCTCTCAGTGCTTAACCTCTCTGTAAAGTACCTTCCTTCTTTGGGACTAAGACTAGACTTGCTGTGTGACATGTACTTAAACTTGAAAGGAGTACCTTCACCACACCTTATCACAACAGGCATTAAAATGCATTGACAAGTAAGATAATTGAAAGAAGTATTTGGGACATTGAGTTGAGGGTTGGAACTGGGTTTGAAGGTTGGGGGAGGGTGTGATGGGGAAAACTTAGTCTGCAGGAGTCATGACAAGGGTTGTTTAGGAAATGTAATAGACTAAACCATGCTATCGAGTTCTCACTGGTGAACCAAAGAAATATATGGTTAGGAATGATCTTTTTTTTTTTTGTGAAAGATTTTCCAGGAATAGTAATCCTTCTGAAAGATATTTGATAACTACTCCCTAAATTTTGTCAAATAGTTTTAAACTTAAAGTTAAATTTCTGATAACCTAATGATGTTAATGAAGACTTAAATAATTTAAGCAGGAGTAAAATGTCAAATTCAGTTATTCTCACTTATAAGTATTTTTTTTTAGATTGCATAGATTTGTAAACATTTAAAATGAAAAAATGGTAACATCACCTAACTTTTAGTTCCAATAATTTTATTATCCTTTATTAATATACACACATACATGTATATCAGTGACAAATTCCAGCCACCAAATCAACTACCAAAGTTGGATCTCAGTTTAATTTAAGCTTACAGAAACTAGACACCTTTTGAAAACATGAATATAGGATTAAAATATGAGATTATACTTCTGTGCTGTGTAATAACTCTGCCTATTCTTTTTAGCTACACTGACTGATATTTCTCAAGTATTTCCAGATGACATGTAATTAAGGACACTTTTCCTACTTGAATCCATTATATCCTTACATGGCCATTACAGTATATCACACACACCCAATTATTTGTATCTCACCTCAAAAGTGTGACACAAGCAAATGCCAAAGACAGTTACTGCACTTGCCCAGAATGTCTTTTGACTTTGCTTATCAACAAACCACACAGTCATCAGTAAGGAAGCTCAAACACCTTGTAGAATGATTCCCTCACATCATTGTGACTGGTTGTATATTTCCACTGAAAAGTTTCTTGTCCTTGATGATAACAAGCAAGTCATGTAACAGCCCATACATAATTCTCACTTGATCAGAATAATGTACATGTCTTTACAGCTTTTCTATAACATATATATTTAGATTTGTGTCAAACTCACTTTATTAAACATTTCCCCGAAAACCAAAAAGATACTCCAGTATTAAAAATGAAGTATTTGTACAATATAACTTTTTGTTATCTTCAGGAATCACCAAATTATCCCTAGTTGGTTGCATGAGAAAAAAAAAAAAAAGCATAATAGGGAACACAATCTTAGTTAATGCTGTGAAACATTTAAGTCCTTTGCAAAACCTGCTGGAATCAATGCAGTTAACCTTTATTTTGGGAAAATAATTTTAATGGGCTAGCCAGGAAGAAACCTTGTGCAATTCAGAGTCAAGTATTTAAAGTGATAAATTTCCTAACACACTGGAGAGTAGATAGTGTGCCTCTAGCTTATACTAGACTCCACTCTTCATTGCATTCTTTACTTTTAAAATGTAATCATGAAATCTAACAGTATTGTATCTTAAGTAATTAGATGCTTATGAAACCAACAGTCGTAGTAACCACAATAATGATCTTAATGAGACAAAATGTTCCAAGTCAAGCCAGCTAAGCAAGACAGCCAAGTGTGGACCAGCAATGCTCTGCCTCTGGTATTTCTGAGTGCCACTGATTAAAATCCTGAGTCAGTGGCAGGCTCTGTGTTCCAGCAACCATTGTGTCTTAATTGGCTTTGTCATATCAACCATTGTGTCTTAATTGGCTTTGTCATAAATAATGGTCTATGAAAAGTATTAAATCCAACCAAAGTTTCCTTAGATCTCTTTTGTGGTGTTTCCCCTTAGTGTCCAAATGCAGATAAGAAGGACACTTGTACAACAGCAATGATCATGCTAAGAGGAAAGCAGCAAGGCAGGACCACTGAACCATTTCCTCTGGTTCTCAGATACTTAAAGAAATGGCAGCTGGGCTTGATGGCCTCAGTCTGCAATCCCAGAGCTTGGGAAACTAAGGAAAGCAGGTCCCGAGGTGGAGGCCAGACTACAGTGACAGGCTCTGTATAAAAGTAAAAGAACGGAAAGAGCCTGTGGTCTGTGTCCTGACTGGCAAAGTTCTTACAGAAGTGAAATTCTCTGTGTATACTTTTTGTTTTTGTTTTCTTGGATCTCTCTCTCTCTCTCTCTCTCTCTCTCTCTCTCTCTCTCTCTCTCTCTCTCTCTCTCTCCTCTCTCAATTCAAGGAGACTAATGCAGTGAAATATCAAGTAAGTATAGAACATAAGGCTTTAAGTACTTAAAAGGAACATTTTTTTCTTTAACCAGAGTGACATGCAAGGGAAAGCAATCAAACATCAGTTTTTCTTGAAATGACTGGTTGCAAAAATATGAGGAAGCTTATCTACAATCAGTACTGTGAAGGCATTTGGGTACAGTGATTTGTGAAGAGGATGATAAAACCCTGTTCATGACAAACTATTCTAGACCTTGGCCATAGGGGCTCATTTTTAAAAAATAATGATGACCAAATTTTTTTGAATTGTGATGACAGCTGAAAAAAATAATGTAAGCCTTTTCTGTTAAGATAACTTGAAGTATAAGAAAATATTTCACAAAAATATTTGTTCTCTATTTATCCTTTTATCTGATGCATTTTACTATTAAAATATATTACAGTTGTTGGTATAATCTTTTATTAGATATTTTTACTGGCTAGAGGAGTAAAGGAATGATGTCATCATGCATGTGTTGAGATGAATAGAAGTAATAGGCAAACCTTAAAGACTTGCAGCTCCTCCAGAATGAGCTCCCCGCTGGCAGAGCTGTTGCTAGGAAGGACTACCACCTTCTGCACCGTGCCCCGATCTAGGTTGGAGAGAGACAAGCAGACACTGTCAGAATTCTGCCTGAAGACTCAAGAGTGTTGCTACCAGAAGAGTCCAGTCCTCAAAAATAGATCAAATGTTAAACAATTAATATTTATAAATATTATAATTTATAAATATTATAAACATTGAATTTATGTCTAATCCCATATGTTTAAATTGAGAATAGATACAACTAAAAGGAAACTACGTCAATCTTCAAATTTCATTTTGCCTAGGGTTCCATCACAGTTATCAAAGAAGGATATTCATGTCTTAAGTCAAAAGTGTGAGTCAGGGAATTGTACAAATATGTGTGTGTGCACAAGTATAAATAAAGTGATTCTGTAAAAGAAGTTGCGAGCCAAGTATATATTATTGAAATATAACAGGAAATATTAAGTTTGGTCATTAAAGGATTGCTTATTTCTCCAAGCTAGCTAGCATTATAGAGTGACACTCCTATCAGTTTGTTAACATTTAACCTGAAGTGATTTAATTATCCAAGGAAGTTGTAGTAGAAATGGTCGGCTATCATAATAGCATAAAGATCCTATTACTGAACAATAGATATTAGATTTATGATTTTGAGTTTAGATAGAGAAAATATCTCACTCCAACTACAGTGTATACTTGAAATAAAAATATAAATGAGAAATATAAATGAACTGGTTTATTTTAGATATTGATACCATACAGATACAATTTTACTTATCACTTGACAATGTATGTTTGGATGTTCTTAAAATACAAGGAAATTTTTGAAATTACATGGTCCAAAATAATGTAAAATAAAAATGTTCTTGTATCTTCTAGGCATATTGAAAAATTAACAGTACAGAAAATGGTTTCAGTATGAGATATCTAAATCAGATTGTTTTGTAGTCATGTAGACACCTTTATGAATATGATTATTTTGCTTTAACAATTACATGAATATTAGATTTAAGAAAATTAGTTGAAATTTAGTAATGAGAAGATGAAAAATAAGTTTCTCTTAAAATAATTAATAAACTGGATGATTATATCAATTTATAAATACTCTCAGTTGTGACTATGAACTTAAAATTTATAATTATCTACCATTGTAAGACCTGCGGAGGGCGTGGACCCTCACGCCCCGACTCAGGAAAGGCGGTCCCCCAAATCACTCACAAGAAGCGATCTTGATGCAAAAGCATGAGGTCTTTTATATTCCAGTTCACTGGGGTCCGCAGCCATATTCCACATGGGGTACAGGACTGGGAACCCTGGGTACAGGGTTCAGACAGCTTTTATAGTGTTACAACAAAGCCCACGCATTACAAACCAATCATCTCAATAGCATCCAGTATGGACCAATCAATTTGAACTATCCAAGCCCACGCTTTGCCCAGGAAGTCTGCATTTCGGGGCCTGAGGTAGCCCACGCTTTGCCCAGGAAGTCTGCTTTCCATAGAGCTCCTGGGTAGTGTGGCACGGTTCATTTCCTGTTCTCATTCACTCACAGGTGCTGTCAGTAACCCACTCTGTCATAAAACAGTCAAGAATGACCTTTTGCCTACTCTACTCACTGCTAGGGGGCAGAGTCTAGGGAAAATTGGGCTAAATTTTTCCATCCTTACACCATCACCAACAGACAAGATGGCTGTTTTAAATTTGGTTAATAAATGTCCATAAGAAAAGTTATATAGACGTGAACTGTGCAGAATTTTCTAGTTAAGAATCACTTAGGTATTGATACTACAAATATTAAGCTTCAGCATCTAAAACTGTCAGTCTACAAACAAGTGTTTCTTTGACACAAAATACATGTTTACAATTCATGTTTACAATTCACATTTTATGAACCTTATCAAAAGATTATCAAAAGTTCATTTTAAAAAATCATGGTTTATAAAATGGTACAAACTGACAGAATGATTTTAAAAAGAAAGGAAATGCCTAAAAGACATCTAGAACAGTGAATCCTGGTGCGGGATAGACAACCGCTAGACTGTGAGGATGGAATGATGAGAGTTTGACATTATAAGAGTTTGGCATTAGAGTTCATTCTCTTCCATGAGTACATTTCACAGCTTAAACGAGCTAAAACAGAGTGATGGTTCCACAATGCTGGAGACTCCTCCAGAGTGCTTTACAAACTGAAATGACTGTGCTTCTATGAGCAGCTTCTATAGTATCATATCAGCCCAGGTGATGATTTGGGAGATGTTTGTTCTAGATGATAATATAAATAAAAACTTGCAATACAAAATCTCTTAGAGATGCAATGTAAATATGTCATAATGGAAAATGGATGAATGTGGTTACAGAGTTCCTCATTTTCGAATGACAATACATCAAAATGATCAGTGGAGATATCTAGAGGCATATCATATAACCAAAAGACAGCTTAGAGAAAGCTGTGTGGTTTTCCTCCTCAACCCTTGTCTCTTCTGTGTGTCTGTGTATGTGTCTGTCTCTGTGTGTATATGTATGCAGATGCTGCTATTGAATACATACATCACTGATCCTAAAGGTGTACAGAAATAAAGACAGGAATGAGAGCACCCAATTTGACTGACATCATGTTATGATAAAGGTTATACTCTTTTCTGGCTCCTTACTCTAATATGTAAGGACTATCAGCATTCTAGCCTGTCTATGGCAATATCTTCCAGGAGCAGGGATGAGTAGAGGCTTTGTGTACCACACTCACAAGAAGAATAACATGAAAGTGTATCTCGATTACAATGTCTCTCAAAGATAAAACTGAATAGTTCAAATAGGTTGCTTTAGCTATTCCATAATGCATACACATATCAAATTGCAAAGTTGTTTACAAAACATGTGCATAACACCTCCTTTTCAATATAAAAAAGAAACATAGTTGCATGTTTTCAGATGAACCAAGTGTCTCTTAATTGCTTTTTCTAATATGTGAATGTACTGAATGTACTATGAGAGCAAATTTTTATGAGTCATCAATCACTTTAAAAAAGTTTTTGGTAAGGATACTTTATTTATCCATTGGTAAAAGATGAAAGACTACAAAATTAGCTAATAAAATATGCTGAAGAACATGCATTTGACTCTTTTCTCATTTTAGATTTTTAAAAAATATATCTGGTGTGGTGAACAAGGAAAATATTTTTCAAGTATCTTAGGCTGTATAACTCATTATATAATAAAGTAAATTTGGGTTATCTGCCATCCATTTGAACTAATTGACTTGGTAAAAATAATTACCAAGGGTCTCCACTGAGCCAGACAGAACAGAGGAAAAGAAAAAATAGACAAGTATGTAAATTCTAGACTTCATACTCGAGTCTAGAATTTATGGGTTTTTAAGTCATGTGTTCACATTAAAATGATAGTCATCATAAGATACACATTCCACAGAGGTTATAAAGTTCCCTTGTACTGACACCCACATAAAGTCATCTCCGTGCAATTTCATTTGAAGAAAATGTGGTTATCAGAAATCCTCCTTTCGGGTGCTCAGAATGATTTTCTTTGGAAGTGTGCACTATCATAAATCCTCTCCATGGCTTTTTTGTCTTTGGGGAAGACTTGGGAACACGATAGACTTACAGTGAAGCAGTCTGCCACCTTTTTTCCTTTAACTTTACTTAGCTTCTGTGTAAACAGAGTCAGTAACTATACTTTTGCAGTAGATGTCCGTCTCTACAGCTTATGTGGAATCATTTTCCCTTCTTGTATTCCTATCAACAGGCAGCTTTTGGAAATACCGCTTCCATTCTCAGTCTACATAGCAAAAGATACCTCTGCTCTTCACCAATTCCATGAAAAGTATCCCATAAGAGCATTTGAGGAGTGGGTAGATAAACAGTCAGGGCTCTGGACTACAGCAGGAATCCCTTTCATCTGGGCTTTAAATTCTCCCACAAAACTGTTAGAGTCTTTCCAGCTACTACACCTGAAACTCTCTTGGAGAGGTAGCAACACAGAAGGTAGAACTCAAAGATGCTACAGTGAAATTCTGCCTTCTAATTTCCAAAATGGGAAGTCTTTTGTTGCTTTAAATAGCCAGAAAAAAAAGCATATGGCCACTTTTAGTTGAGTTCTGACTAGCAAACAATAATGTAGACATGATTTAAAACAAAAGTCTGGTCTGGTACATAGGTTCTCCTCAGCTGGTGCAATCACTTTGCCTCTCTGTACCTCACCTACTAAACTTAGTCATCATAGGAGTAGCTTTCATTTACAGAACTTCAACTTCTTCATCTAGATGATATAGATAATAGATCCCCAAATAAATGAAATCATTGGTGATATGGGTGAGTAACCAAGGCAAATCTTAGAAGTGATTTCCATGATGTAAATCTATATGTGAAGACAACAGCAAAATAATCAATCTCATGATTATTTAATTGCCTTTGTTTATTAAATATCTGAAGAAATTTCCACAAATAAGCATCCTTTCTGATTCTTTATCTTATACTATATAGATTTCTCTGAGATTATAAGAGATCACAGCAATAATTGTTCAATTGCTCTTCTGTTTCTAACTTAGAGACCAGGCTGCTTGTGGTCTAAAGTAGGTGTTAGCTGTCTAAAGCAAGTGATGAAGCATAGCTCATTACTCAGCAGGTCACTAGAGTCAGCATTGGTATTTATCCCCTGGTTGCATTTTAACAGAAGTCCTCCTCCGTTTCCCTGGAAACAAGCTGTGCTTGCCATTGGAATGCAGGAACATTGCCACCTTAATCAGATCTAGTCCCTCCCCTCTCAGTGGTTGCTAACTAATGAAATAATTCTAGGCAGGCTGGCTTCCTCCATGTGTCACCCACACAGTCATTTAGGCACCTATGCTCAGGGAAGTGCAAGTTTGATTTAATCACCTCTTTTATCAACCTTTAAAATTTTATTTTATTTTATTTTTTAGAAAGGGACACTGAATTATATCTTAAACCATTCCCTACAAATTATGCTCCCTCTTGTGACTCTGAGAGCATGGTAATCAATAGTCATTCACACCAACTAGGAAGCAGTTTTACTCACATGAGAAAACACAAT